TGTTATAGAGCTCCTACCTCCTCATAGGGCTATAGAAGGCCTCACACTGTGCCACTCTGAACTTCTCATAGACAATCACCCCCAAATGTCTCCATGACATACCTATTCTCCCCCAGCTCATTCACCATCCAGAGACAGACAGACCTTCCTGGTGGTTCCTGACATTCCAAGGATGCTTGTACCCCAAAGACTGTTTCTGCTCTACCCATAAAGCATTTGCAGGAATAGCTCCTTCTATGTCCTCTCTGTTAGGTCTTCTACTGTCAAAACTGTAGGCTCTGTCCTCACACTTGCTGTTTTGCACAGCACACAAAAACTTTCTATTTATGTATGCCACATACTTTATTCAATGTTTATTTTGTCTTCCCTTTTTCCCCAACCAAACTACCTAGATTTTAAGCTCTATGGGGAAAAAAAAGTCTCCATTTTGTTTCCTTTTTAATTCAAGCACAAAAACTGTCTAAATTGAAGGACCTGTTCAATAAATATGCCAGATAAATGCAAGCACACTTGGTTCATGAATGCAGACGTGCTTGGGTATCTGTGGTTAGGATGATGTGGGTATATCTAGAAACAGGTAACACCTATTTCTAAAAAAAGAAGGAGGCTAACTTCACATTTGCCAATCCTTTTAACAAATCTCTCCTAAATTTAAACTACTCCAAGCTTTTGCCATAATGTTAAACAATATGATCATTTGCAATACATTTCAGCCTCATACTTTTAAAAATGAGTATTTTCCAGGGCCAAGCATGGTGGTGCATGCCACTGATCTCAGCCAGCACTTGGGACACAGAGGCAGATGGATCTCTATGAGTTCAAGCCCAGCCCTGGCCTACATTTGAGTTCCAGGACAGCTAGGGCTATATAAAGAGGCTCTGTTCCAAATAAATACATAAATAGATAAACAAACAAAAGATAATATTTTCCATCCTAAAACACAAAAAGAACACCAGTGCCCTACAAAAATACTGATAAAAATCTGTTTAATGCTCACTAGTTATTTAGGAAAATGGAAAGCAAAAGAGAATGCTTTGTGTATCTATCACTGGATTGAAATGTAAGCATCTACTGTAGCAAAATACTCAATATTTTTATGAGGGCTTCAGACATGAGTTCTTGATTGTTACATCTACTTCAACACTGCAGTACTTTTTCCTTAAGGAAAAAAAAATGTATAGCGAGCACAGTATATAATTTTTTTATTTCTGAAACTGAAAAGTCTCAGTGCTATTGCAAGATTAGACTCCTGACCCATCAAGGGAAGAAGCTGGATGCCTAAGGTCTCCTCTGGCTCTAACTTTAAAGATTTAATGCCAGAAGTTTACATAACACACCTGTACTCATACAAACTATACACAAATGAGTCATCTACCTAATAGAAGAATAAATTACAAAGTTGCTGACTTGAGAAAAAATATAATTCAATACACTTACCACTTTAGCAATCTTTAAAATTTTGGCAATTAATTATTATAAACAGGCAGAAATTATAAAATAAATGCTTTGCTGCAAATACATTCTGAGCGTTACAGTATTGTAGATAGTCTACCAGAAGAATGTAACACACTATTTTTAAGAGTCACATTCTGTTTCTGTTAGTATTTTACCAACAATCATTTTTTCATTGAATATTTAACTTTTTAAATAAAGAATTATTTTCCTACATAGGAGAGAGTATTAATAGATTTTTTAAAAAAGATTTGTTGTTTTTTTTTTTTCTTCGTGTATATGTGTGTGCATCTGTATGTCAGCTATGTGTGTTCGGAGGGGTCAGTGTTCTCAGAGGCCAGGAAAATGTTTTAGATCCCTTGGAACTGGCATTAAAGGCAGTTGTGAGCCACCTGACATGGGTGCTGGGAAGTAAGCTGAGGTTTCCTGGAAGAATGTGAAAGAATAAAAATGAATGCACTTAATTTTTTTTTTCTTAATGTGTGTAGGTATTTTGCCTGCATGTATGTCTGTGTACCACATGCATACCTAGTGCCCTTGAAGGCTAGAATAGAGTGATGGATTCTCTGGAGTTACAAACAGTTGTAAACTGATATGTGGGTTCTGGGAATAGATTTCAGGTCCTCTGGAAAAAGAGCTAGTGATCGTAAGTGTTGAACCATCTCTCCAGCATGTGCAGTATGCACTCTTATTAACAGATATTTAATGGAATTGGCTCAACAGGTAAAGATGCTTGTCACTAAATCTAACAACCTGAGTTTGGTACACAGGACCACATTTTGAAGTAGAGACTGAAGTAGAGAACCAATTCCCACAAGTTTTCTTCTAAACTCCGTAACTGCACCATGAAACGGGCACATTCACTCACTCTCACACACACAAACACTAAATAAATATAGTAAAACAAATTTAATTTGCTTTCTGTTAAATAATACTTTCCAAACACAGACACCAACAAACACCTGTTTTCTTTGCAGTCAAGAGAAACAAATTGCATTCCTCAATTTAGGAAATAATCTACAGGTGCTAGACAGATGGCTCCGAAGTTAAGAGCTGACTGGTCTGGCAAAGGGCCTGCGTTCAGTTCCCAGCACCCACAGGGAAGCTTACAGCCATTCATAATCCCAGTTCCAGTCGAGCCAGTGCCCTCTCTAGCCTCCATAGCACCATCATGCACATGGTACACATATATACATGCATTCAGTCAAAACACAAAAATATATCATTTCTTAGAAAGAAAAATCCTGCAGTGAGCAAATAGAACAATTGTTTACAAGATTTTTGCCACTTTCATTTTATATGTCATGAACCAATCACTTCCAGTGTTATTTCAAGTCAAATTTAAATTGTGAAAATTTCAAAAAGACTCACAATTCAAAACTTACAAAAGTTGACATGAGAACTATTAATATTCACTTTCACATGAGTGTTACTCTTTCTTCTGCCATTTACTACCTGAGTGAACCTGAGCAGGTTACTCATTGAAACTAACCTTTAGTTCCTTCTCCTGCATGGCAGGGGGGTGCCTTCCTAAACATGTTGACAGAATTGAGATGCAATACAGTCTAAGTAAGGGGAAAGCGCAGCGTGACTCCTCAGTAAATGTATTAGTTTACTTTGAGTACAATGTCCATATCGATTTTAAGTCATTTATATCTTATCCCATTATAAAAAGTACCTGTAAGCTGTAGAAGTACCATTTCCTTCATGACAGCATAAACATTCAGTTTCTCATAGTTACTAATAACTATAGTCATAAGTCTATGCAAGTACTAAGTGCCCAGAAAGAATCAGGATTTCATATATGCCAGCACAAAGCAAGAAATATGCATGCCCTTACTAGACTGCTAGATTACTAGATTTGCTCATTAAAACTTGAATCAAAGGAAAGATGGCTCAGCAGTTAAGAACACTCGTTCTTACAGAGGACCAGGGTTTGAGTCCCTGCACCCACATAGCAGCTTACAACCCTCATGTGAGCAAAATACAAACTTGATTCAAAGCCAGCTACGGTAGTGCAAAAGGCTAAAACAGACAAATAGGGGAACCTTTCTCAAAATACAAAACAAAAAAGACAAAACCTGACTCTTAAAAGGATGTGAAACCTACAGAGATGTGCACTTACACACAAGAGCAACCTGTGCAATTGGATTGTTAAGCTTCAACAGTTTCGATTTACTGTCTTTCCCAAAGACAACTAGCTTCACTCACTGCGTATAACAACCACACTGTAGCACAATGAACTGGCAGCGGCAAGCAATGAGAATAGGGTCATCTGTCTGCTACTACCTGTGTGAACCTTAAGCAAGCTATTAAAATAAGCCTAAATTTCCACAGCTGTGAAAGGCAACAATAGGATCCAACCCCAAGGGCTGTTGGAACTTCAAAGTGAATGCTCCTGAGTACGCTTTATAACTATACATTTTCTACTAAGAAAGAACTTTTAAAAAGCAAGTTTTATCAACTCATCACATTAACATCAAACTTTATTACTCTAATGACTTCAATATAGGGCTTGATGATTCAACTGGATTTAAACTCGGCAAAATAAACCACTAGGCTGAGAAAGAGTCTCATTCGAACAAAAATACATCCAGAATATCCGCACTGGTAAGTAAACGATCAACAATTTCTTCTACAGAGTCACTAATACATCAGTGACTCTAAAAACATTAAACTGCTTTAAAACTTCCTGCCACCCTGAGGTAAGCATCTGCTTTCTGTACTCATGTGGCTTTTTCGTCTCGTGTTCTCTGCTTATTCAAAACCACCACATCCAAAATACACGTTCACAAACAAAACAAACAAACTCTCGGCTTGCTGATGCCAAGAATTTCAAAGAAACCTAAGTATTAGCCTCCGTCCCTCCGGTAGTATCCAGAAGCCCGCCACCCTCGGGTCTGGTCAATGCACTTAGGGTAAGGGAAGCAGAGGGCAAGGTTTTACAACAGGTCAGTTCGGTCCACTCAGCGGTCATCAGCGGACGGTGTGTTTTCCGCAAAGTTTCAAAGTCAACACAGAAGTTTGGGGGCAAAGAGATAGGGCCTACAAGACAATCAGCAACAGACCCGAACACAGAAAAGAGTGGGGGAGGGGAGGGGAGGGGAGGGGAAAACGCTCCGGACTTCGCACTGCGGCCCCCTCCTCCGCGAACCGCGGGGCGGCGGAGGCCGAGGCCCCCCGTCCCCCGCACCGTCAAGTCCCGGCATCCCCACTTCTCGGGCACCCTACGGTCGCCGGCTCCCCACTCCCCGGCACCCCGGCGTCTCGGGTACCCCCGTGTCTCGGATACTCCACGTCCCGGCACCCCACGTCTCGGACACCGAGGTCCCGGCACTCCAGTGTCTCGGTCGAGGCTGGGTCGTCGCCCGCGGGAGCCGGCGGGGGGCGCGCAGAGGGTCACCTTCCGATCCGAGCCCGCCGGAGGGCCCGCTCGCCCCGCGCGCCCGCCCGCCCGGAGAGCAAACTGCCCCCGGGAGCCGCCGCGAGCGCCTCGGCCCGACTGGAGCGCGGGCGCCGCTGCAAGGGCGCGGGCGCCGCCGCCTCACCTTCCTCGGCGGTGTCCATCTTGTCTGGGGGGCGGCGGTGACGCAGCCGCGAGGCGCCCGCGACCCCGCAGAGCCTTCAGGCCCGAAGGGAAAGGCGGGAGGGAGGCGGGGGGGAGGAAAAGGACGCGGGTCAGGCAGGTGCGTGCGCTCAGGTGCTAGAGGAAGCCAGACGCGGGCGAGGGGGACAGGGACAGCGGCTGACAGAAAGCGAGCGCCGGGGAAGGGGGAGGGGCGCGCGGCCGAGAGACAGGCCTGGGCGGGGCGCGCGGCGGAAAAGGCGGGGCGCTGGAGCTCCGCGCGTCACTTCCGGCGCGCGCTCTCGCTCGCGGCGGGCGACCTGGGTGGGGAGCGGCCTAGTGGCGCAGGCTGCGCGGGGTGGGGCGTGAACTCCCGGAGGTGCGCCGTGTTCCGGGACAAAGGAGCGCGGAGCGGCGAGAGCGAGCGCTGGGAGCCGGGCGCGAGCCCGGGCCGGCGTGCGGGACAAAGGCCCCGGCGTGGGTTACTCGACCGTGACGGCCAGGGCTCGCAGACTTGGCCCCGGAGCATTTTGATTCCGCACCGGAGTGGCTCTGAGGCACGTTTTAAAGAAGTACAAAAGCATCCTAACGTGTAAAAAGAAAACCAACCACCCAGGTCATCAAAATTTCTCCTGGGGAGGCTTATGCAATGGATTGGAAAGACCGCTTCTTCACAGCTGAAATTGAATCTACCTGTACGGGAAATAGGTCCACATGTCGACACAATTAGAACTAAAAAGCTGATGAAAGAGGTGTGAAAGACTGAGCTCTGCTCGCATCAGTAGGCCACTTTCCTCACATAATCATTAGAGTGTTCTCTAAATGAATAAGCTAGAAGCAAAGAAGACTTTCCAACCTCAATGCTTAAACGTGCACATGACAGAAAATAGGTTCAAGAAACCAAACTTTCTCCATCTGTGTGAGTACGAGTTGGAAAGACTCTTTCGGTCCTCATCTAAGTATGAAAAGGAGCCCTTCAAAAAGACAGCATCCCTTGAATAAAGTCATTGATTCTCCTGTCCTTTGTATGACTTGAGGCAAATTTTTAGTGCCACAATAATGGAGACCTTCTATTTGCAAAAGCTGACCTTGAGAATTTGAGCTGCCATTGGGTAAAGACTATCTCAAAAGACAAAATCGTATTGGAAGGCAGCTCTTTCCCCCTCCCCCCCCAATTCTACTGTTTCTACAAGATATCAGTAAGAGTTTATTTAATGTAAGGCCAATAGAAGCATACTTTGAGCTAGCCAAGACCGGCAACACAGAAACAGAATCCAAGCTGGTGAGACAGCTTGGGAGGAAGGCTCCTGGGAGAGAAAGTTGCTAAAGGAAGTATTATTAGTATTCAGGGTAGGTATGTAAACCTATTAGCAGTGGGTGATACAAGGTGGTGGAATGGAGGGCTTTCTCTACTTCATTTTTTGTGTTTTCTCTTGGGAAAGCTAACCTTTCACCAAGTCTCCCACATAGCAGCACATTGTGCAGCTAATTACCTTTTTGGGTTTAGACTTTGGATGAGACCTAAGTAATTGGGAAATATTTATTTAGTCCCTTCTCTGCCAGGAAGTCTTTATAACAACCCTTTGAGTTGTGTAACTCAGTCCTCTGCAGATGCCTCTGATGGAAACTTAACTACTTTTAGGCTAAAAGTAGGACAGTACTCTTAACTTGAGGGCTGTCCTGGACCATGGGCTACTAGAACCACAGTCTCTCTGCCCTATTCTCAGCTTGGCCTTTCTATGCACACTGAGTTCATCTTGTCCAGCCATCTTCTTCCACATGGCTGGACACAGAGCTGCTGATGGTTCTCTACCTTAACACTAAAAGGGGGAAAACGAGGCTCTCTATTCCCAGGTTTAAATCTCCCAGAAAAAAGCAACTAATTGGTCCAGCAAATTCCCTGTCCCTGAACCTAATGACTGTGCTGAAGCAGTAGGACCTGTAACAGCATGGATACAACGTGTTCATGGTACTGCCACGTTTGTGTGGAAATATGCTATTTCCTGTGCTCTGAGGATACTTTACTAAGGCTGGTGTACAAGAAGTCGTAGTCTGAAAAAAGCTTTTTCCAAAGATCTATTGTAATTAAAAGTTTGACCTGGAGGTGTCACTTTTGGAAACTGCTGGAGAGTTTGAGAGGTGGGGCCTAACATCAGGTGTCCAAGTCATTGGGGTGTGCCATTGGAAGATAGTCCCTGTGTTTGTTCTTTGAGAGTTCTCACCAAAAGAGCCTAAGTTTAGCCCCAAGCAGAGCAGACTCTTAGCTCCTGATTCCACTTACTCCTGCGTGCACCTCATTTCCCTCCTTGCCATAGCCTACACAGTTTAGGGTAACAGGAATGAAGAAAGGACAGGTATCATACAGAGAAGCTGGTACTCTGTGGGCCGTGCTCACTCCCACAGACTGGCTTCACTAGGCCACAACCCAGAGCCTCATTGAGTTAGCTGGAGGAGGAGTTAGCTGGTGTTGATAGGAGTCTCTGTAGGACTGTGTCACATTGCAGTCATTTGGAGGAAGAAGGCGCAGTTACTAGATTTTGCACACACTGGCCAATTGTCTGTAAACATACTTGGAGCAGAGGAAGGCTTTGCTATGCCTCTTGAACTCACTGACAGGAAAGCTTTGTCAGTTTCCATGAGTGAGAAGCACTGGTATCCTTGACATGACTGTGCCTATGTCAGTAACACACATTCACTCAGGACTTCATTCACTCCTTACACATTCACTCAGATTCCTGACTTCCCACACACTAGTCACCATGAGATCCTCACCAACATGCAGCTATGCAGGACACCATGGTCTTGAACCTACAAAACTGAGCAAAGTAAGCCCTTTTTCCTCTCCCCATCCCTGTCTCTGGGACATAGTCTTCCTATGTAGCCTGGGGCAGCCTAGGCCTTCTTTTTCTTTGTAAGCAGCTTGTGTCATGTATTTTGTTATGGGATGAGAAGATGACTCAGAGGACATGGGAAGATACAGTATAATTTTTTTGAGCATGAACTATGACAAAAGCAAATGAAAAATAACAATAATTAACCAAAGTCCCTATTATGTCCAATGAATATCAATAACAATTCTGTAAAGTAAATACACCCATACACCCGTTTTACAGATGAGCCATCAGATTCACAGCCCGTGACTAACAAAGGAAAGAAGGAAACAATTTTAGCCACAGCTCTGACTCTGGGGCTCAGCATTTTAAACCTCATTGGTTTAGCATTAGCAACCTCTTACTGCCATTAAATCCTCAACTCTTAATTTTTTTACTATGAACTTAAGTGTGTATCAAACCTGAGACCTTGCAACAGTTGCATAGAACTCTCCTGAAGAAGCATTGGTCTAGTAACTGAGCGAAGAGTCTTACCACAACCTTGACATTACTGACAGTAACAAATTACTGAGGGAAATTAATGGTGCTGTCTTAAAATTAAACTCTTCAACTTCTCTTATTTCTGTGTTCTCGCCTTCCTGTCTTACCTCCCTCTCTATCTTCCTTGTCATTTCTCTTACTTGAAGTCTGACCCAAAAGCAAGGTGGGCAAGACAAGTATGCAGGTGAAAGGCCTGGCGTGTTTAGACAGTCTTATACTGAGCAACTAAAGCTATTAAGAGTAAAGTTGGACAGATTTCCCAAAAACAGAAAATGCAAATATGGGGAGAAGGAAGGCTAGAAATGTTCCTGAAAAATTAAATCCAAGAGCCACTCCTGTTGTGCACTGCAGGCCAAACTCAGCCATCAGTGATCAAATAATCTTAGTAGACGCAAGCTTGGCCCAAGCATGGCGGCACATGCCTTACCTTGGCAGGCAGAGGCAAGCAAATGTCTGAGTTTGAGACAAGCGAGGTGTATATAGTGAGTTCCAAACCATCCAGGACTACATAGGGAGACCCTGGAGAGAGAGAGACAGAGACACACAGAGAGAGCACACTTGGGCTGCTAGGTCTCTAAGCCCCTGGCAAGAAAACATGACTTCTTTCTGGAAGGATGTACCTATGCTGTACTCACTGACCTTGTGAGTTCATTTGAGGAGTTTGAGAGTTTGTGTGTGTGTGTGTGAACTGTAAGAAGTGACACAGAACAGATAGTAGAAACCATCCTATTGACCTACCTCCTATCCCTGGAGAGACAGACAATCTCATCTAGACAGAATTTGCATGTCTTTCTGCACATAGTGTTAGGTGACAGTTACCATGTCCTAATGATATATCCAGATCTCTGATGCCTTCCTTAGGATATAGTCCTAACAATATGTGCTATTTAAAATTCCTTAACTGGTGAGGAGGTAGGACACACCCATTTAATCCCATCACTTGGGAGGCAGAAGCAGGTGGATCTCTGTGAGTTTGAGGCCAGCACCGTCTACAGAGAGAGTTCCAAGGATAGCTAGGGCTACACTGAGAAACTCTGTCTTGAAAAACTAAAAATAAAATAAAAATAAAATCCTTCAACCTGTAGTTCAGAAGCTCAAAAATCTCATAAGAATTATCTGTATTAGTTAAGTTTTCTATTGCTATGATAAAATACTTGGCCACAGCAAATTATAGATGAAAATGTTCACTTGGGTTGCAGAAGGTAGGAGCGCATCATGATCATGGTGGGGAGCATGGCAGCAGGTACCCATGACACTGGAGCAGCAGCTGAGAGCTCACATCCAGTCCACAAACAGAGAGCAGAGAGAGCCAGCTCAAAATGGCACCAGTTTTTTGAAATCACAAAGCCTGCCCTCAGTGGCACACCTCTACACTTCCTAATGCTCCCCAACTAGCCACCAACTGGGGACCAACTATTCAGATGCCTTAGTCTTATGGGGACATCTCATTGAAACCACAATATCTGACACTATTCTCACCCTTGCAGAGTCATGCCACTGTCAGTAACATGGGGACAGAAAAGGAAGGATCTTGAAGCAGTGCCATGAGCACCAAGGCCCTGTAAGTACTGCCCAACTGGCCATATTTAGTTCATATCCATCCTGTCTTGTTAGAGGATTAGTGACCTTGCATTTAACATCAGAAGAGCCTTCTTCCTCCCTCCAACTGTTTACCCTCACCTCTTTATCACTTTCCCGTGAGTCTCCATGTAGGAGAACCCCCAAACTTTCTCTGTACTGCCACATGTCCCATTTCTCTGTTGATTGAATTGTGAACACCTCTCTCTCAAGCTCTCCATCCTCTGGGTATTCCCTAAGAAACTGCTTACATAATAAGCAGATGGTGGCCA